CCACGGCATCCCCGCTACACTCATCTCAGAAAGAGACCCCAACCTCACCAGTAAGTTCTGGAGGGAACTCATGGGTTTGTTGGGGACAAAGCTTGCAATGTCTTCAGCATACCACCCCCAGACTGACGGACAGACCGAGCGACTCAATCAGGTGGTTGAACAGTTACTGCGCACCGCTTGCAAAGACGACGTCAGCCACTGGGATTCACAGTTACCGATACCTGAGTTCGCTTACAACAACGCGTCACATGCGGCCACAGGGAAATCTCCTTTCATCCTGTGCTATGGACGGGAACCAGTTACACCAGAGCAGCCAACCACACCGGCACACGTCCAAGCCGCACATGACTTCGTCACCACCATGCAGCAGCTATGGGAGAAGACTCAGCGACGTCTTTCCACGATGCAGAACTCCCATAAGCAGTATGCCGATCGCCAGCGACGTGATCACACCGTAGCAGTCAGAGATCAGGTGCTTCTCGACACGCGCAACTTGAATCTGTCTCACCTACCATCCAAGCTCCGGCCTCGCTTCTGTGGTCCTTTTCACGTTGAGGCACAGGTGACACCAGTAACATTCCGCTTGCGCTTACCTATTACTTGGAAGCTTCATAACGCTTTCCATGTTTAGCTGCTGAAGCCCTACAAGGACCCCAACCAAAAGTTCATGGGACGACAGCTACCGCCACCACCACCTGTTCTCGTACAGGATGAACCATAGTACGAGGTGGAACGAGTGCTCGCTCATCGATGCAGACGTGTGGCAACACGCTCGAGTTCCTGATACGCTGGAAGGAATATGACCCATCGGAGGACAGTTGGGTTGCAGAAGCTGATATGGGCAACGCACGCCGTGCTCTCAAGGACTATCTTGTCAAGCAGGGTGTTTCTCACGCCACCCAGCTTTGAGGGGGGGACGTGTGAGAGTACGACGGCTTATGCTGGCTTTGCTAGCTTGCCTGGACTTTATTATGCTATTACTAGCTTAGGTTTTATTTATCATGCATAGATATGCTTGATTTCCTAGGTTAGGTGCATTCCTATATGTTATTATAGTTATAGCACCGAACCAGGTTACGTGTACCGAACTCAAGCCTATTCGGTTTCCACCGAATTGCTTTCTACTGAATTCGGGAGGGTTCTGTTCGGGACGCTTCGCGACCCTCAGAATATTCGCGTAACACCTGGGTAACTGGCCTTGTGTCGAGGCTATATATAGCCTCGTGTTGTACCCAGGTGGATCATTGAATAGATTTATCTTTCCTGAACCAGATCCTCACAAGATGTAGCGCGAAGATAGCGGAGAATGTGCTTGGCTGTCGCCTAGTGCACGTCAGTATGGCGACCAAGGCCAACAAAGTGAGAGAGGACACTGAGGGGATAAGCAAGATCGGGGCGAGTGCACATCATAGCATACATGAGTGACCCAACGAGCTCTGGATAGGGTCGCAATTCTGAGGAGGGAGCAGGGACGGCAGGGGCAGTGAGCTGATGGTTAAACGGAAGAGGGGTGGAGACCGGTTTGGCCTGGGACATCTCGAACCGCTGGAGGATGGAGTGGATGTAGAACGACCGAGAGAGAGAGATGGTGCAGGCAGCACGATCACGACGAATCTCCATACCAAGATAGTGACGGAGCTCGCTGAGATCCTTGCACAGAAGACGCGCCTGCAGGGCCTTCTTGACAGCAGCCAAATCGGCAGAATCCTCAACAAGAAGCACCAAGTCGTCCACATAGGCAAGAATGTAAAGCCTGTGAGGGGAAGTGCGAATGAAAAGACTGGGATCGGAGGTAGGGGTGGAGAAACCAAGAGAGTGAAGAGTGGAGGCGAGCTTGGCATGCCACTCGCGGAGAGCCTCCTTGAGGCCATACACAGGGCGCTTCAACTCCCAAATGGTGCCTGGAGGAAAGGGGCGAGGAAAACCGGCGGGGCGCTCAAGGAAAATGCGCTCATGAAGCTCGCCCTGAAGGAAAGCATTGGAAACATCCATAGAATGAATCTCCAAATCCCAGCGAGCACCTAGGTCAAGAAGGAGGGGAATGGTGGGGAGACGAGTAGTGGGAGAGTAAGTGGCAAAGTAGTCAATGCCTTCACGCTGGGTAAAGCCTTTGGCGCAATAACGGGCTTTGAAGAGAGGAAGCTCCCCAGGCAACTGCTTGACACGAAAGACCCATTTGCCCTTGACAATGGTGGCACCAAGGGGGGGGGACAGAGTCGACGTAGGAATTGGTACGAGAGAACGCCTCACACTCAGCAATAATGGCAGCCACCCACTCAGTGGCGTGAAAGCTAGAAACGGCCTCGGAATAGGACTGAGGGATGGGAATGGCGGCAGTGTCGGCAGAGAGAAGAGTGGGTGAATTGTTGAAGTCGCCGATGGTGACACAGAGAAGAGGGGAGACAGGGTGAACAGAGAAGAGCTCATCAAACTGATCTTCAAGAAGATTGGGGTCCTGAGAAGAGGATAGACGAGTGAAAAGAGCAGAGTGTTGAAAATTGGATATTGCGCGAGTCATGGAGCGAGTCAGGCGTGGAGAGGGTGGGGGAAGGGGAACAGAAAGAAGGGAAGCATCAGGAGGTGGCGATGAAGAGGGCATGGGAGCTGAAGAGGAAGAGGCAGGAGGAGAGTTTCCTGAGGTGATGGCGGAAGGAGGGGCGGAGGGGGCAGGTGGGAGAGGAGGAGCAGGGACGGAGGGAAGGGGAGGTGGGGAGGGAGTAGCAGAGGGAGCAGCGGAGGGATGCGGATCAAAGTCAGACCAATGGAGAGAAGGAGTAGGAGGGGTGGTAGGGGGAGTGAGGAATGGAGAGCGAGTCTCGTCAAAGATGACATCCTGGCTGCGAATGAGCTGCTGAGAGGAGGGAGCATAGAAAAGGTAGCCAGGACAATCAGAGTTGATCCCAATGAATGCACAGAGCTGCGTCTTAGGAGCGAGTTTCCCACCTTGACGTGCCCGATCAGCTGGATTGACGAGGACATGAGCGACACAGCCCCACACCCGAAGTGGCGAGCAGAGGGCTGGCGGCCCGTCCAGAGCTGAAAGAAGAGGGGCGAAGGGGATGAGGGCGAAGGTTGGAAAGAAGAGTTGCGTGAACAAGAGCATAGCTCCAAAGAGAGCGGGGAGCGGAAGCATGGGTGAGGAGACATCGAGTGATCTCCATGAGAGTGCGATTGCGACGCTCGGCAACACCATTCTGTTCAGGATAGTGCGGGAGGGTCGAGGTTTGGCGAATGCCATGAGAGGAGCAGTATGAGGAGAGAGAATGATTAAAGAACTCCCCACCACCGTTGGAGTGGAAACGCGCGACAGGATGCCTGAAGCAAAGGCGAGCCTGTTCAGCCAAACGAATTATGACGGAAAGGGCGTCAGATTTGGCACGAAGGGGATAGACAGTGGCAAAGCGAGAATGGTCATCAACGAGAAGGAGAATGTAACGATGACCTTGTCGGGAGGCAACTGGGGAGGGACCCCAAAGGTCCATATGCACGAGATCAAGAGGCTGGGGGGAGGCAGAAGGGGAAGAAGGATGAGGAGATTGAGAAAGCTTGGCTTGAACACAAGGAGTGCATAGAAGGGCGGGAGAGGGAGGAAGGGGCGGGAGAGAGGAGGGAAGATCATGAAGCAGCTTCGAATGGACCATGCTGCGATGGAGAGGGAAGTTTGGGTGGCCGAGACGATGATGGAAAAGAAGGGTAGGTTGGGTGAGAGAGCGACAATCGCAAGAGGAAATGGGTGGAGCGGAAGTAGGGGAAGTGTGATGAGCAGACGAGAGGAGAGAAACACGGAGGGTTTAGAGACGAGAGGTAGGGGAAAGGGTAAAACGAGCGAGATGTCGGTCTTCGTAATGAAGATCACAGTAGAGTTCACCTGCGGGGAAACTCGCTCGCACACCAAGGCATTGGAGGGCGGAGAGGGAGAGAAGGTTATGACGACATGAGGGAACATAGAGGCCAGTGACTGCGCCAGAGGGGGAGGCAGGACAGGGAAGAGAGGAGGTGCCAGTGCATGTCAGGGTCATGGTCTCCCCAGCTCCATGAATAATGAGAGGGCGGAGAAAGGAACGAAGAACACCGGCATCACGAAAAACAGAGTCAGTAGCACCACTGTCGAGGACAAAGTCCAAGGTGCGAGGGAGAGAGAGAGCAGCAACTGTAGAGCAGGGATATGGAGAGACAACACTAGAAGCAGAAGGAAGAAATGGCACGGCAAAGCGAGGGTCCATGAGAGGAGAAGCACCAAGAATGCTAGTATAAGAAGGCATGGTCACTCTGAGAGCAGAGGGAAAAGCATCAGCACCAGGAGTTGCGATGGAAAGCGATGGCGGGGCAGGGGACTGGCGACGCTGGCGAGACTGTAGAAACGAGACAGGAGGAGAGGTCCAAGTGGGAGAGAGGGGAGCGGATGACGCATAGGGTAGGGGAAGGAGGGGTAAAGGATGAGGGACAGCAGCAGGAGAGAGAGGGCAGTACCGGCGAGGACGAGAGGGAGTCGTAGGAATGGGCGCCATTGGAGGGGAAGGAGACGGAAACAGAGCAGTTGAGGGGAGAAATAAGAGGCGGAGGAATATGGCGAAGTAGTCTACTGCTGAGCAGCTGAGGAGAGAAATAAGAGGAGGAGGAATAATCGGCGGAGTAGTCTGCTGCTGAGCAGCTGAGGGGAGAAATAAGAGGCGGAGGAATATGGGCGGAGTAGTCTGCTGCTGCGCCGCTGAGGGGAGAAATAGGAGGCGGGGGAATATTAGGGGAGTAGTCTGCTGTTGCGCCGCTGAGGGGAGAAATAAGAGGCGGAGGAATATGGGCGGAGTAGTCTGCTGCTGCGCCGCTGAGGGGAGAAATAAGAGGCGGAGGAATATGGGCGGAGTAGTCTGCTGCTGCGCCGCTGAGGGGAGAAATAAGAGGCGGAGGAATATGGGCAGAGTAGTCTGCTGCTGCACCGCCGAGGGGATAAATAAGAGGCGGAGGAAAAAAAAATGGGGAAGGAGCACGGCTATGAAGAAATGTCAACAACCAGCTGCGGCAGATGAGGAGAGGAGAAAGGCGGAGGAGAGAGTGAGATGGGGAGGGAATGAGGGGAGAGAGGAGAGGAGGAGGAGGGTGAAGGGGCGGATGGTGAGAAGGGGTAGGTCTTGAAGAGCACGGCTACGAAGCAAGGTCGGCAACCAGCTGCGGCAGTTGAAGAGAGGAGAAAGGCGGAGGAGAGCGTGAGAGGGAATGGGGAAGAAGGGAGAGAAAAGAGGAGGAGGGTGAAGGGGCGGATTGTGATGAGGAGGAGAAAGGAGAGGAAGGAGCACAACAACCAGAATAGATCAACGACAAGCTCCTGCAGCTGAGGTGGGAGTAGAGGTGGAGAAAAGGGTAAGGTGGTAGAGGGAATTAAGGGAGAGAGGAGTGGAGCAGGAGGGTGAAGGGGCGAATTGTGTATGAGGGGAGGCTTGAAGGCGGACAACGGAATGCAGAGCGGCGCACGGGGGAGAGGGCAGGATGCGCCACGAGGGAAGAAGGGGCGCGCTGTGCAGGGTAGTATGTGGCGCGCTCGACCGCGGAAATACGGGACGCGCGGAAGGGGGGGACAGAGGGCGCGCGACGGTGACGCAGCCCGCGTGCAATGAGGTAAGTGAAGGGGCGCGTGGGTGAGGGGGGAATGCACGCGCGGAGGAAGAAAGGAGGGCGCACGACGGTATTGCAGGCCGCGCACGACGAGAGGGAGGAAGGGAGAGCGCGCGGGACGAGGCGCAATGGGTCTGGGTGCGCACGACGCGAGGGTAAGGATGGGCGCGACAGGTCTAGAAGGTCGCGCGCTACTACTCAGGGCGGATCCGCGATTTGAAGAGGAGAAAAAAAAGAAAAAACCGTGAGAAAGAAAAAAAGAGGAAGGTAAAATCGACTAGCTAAAGGGCCTAAGAGTTGCTAAGAGCTGTAGATGATTAGGAGACGCCTAGGATTTAGCTCTAGATACAATGTTAAGAGTAGCTTTAGGAGAGCCTTGACTCTCGTGAGAGAAGATAACGAGAGAAAAAGTTTCACTAGAGAAAGTGTCGAGAGACATTTGAAAGATAGGGTTGGGAAACCCCAACTGAACCTAAGGCGTGTTCAATGCAGAGTCAAACTGCAAAGTGAACCTAAGATGAACCAGAAATGAAACTAAGTCTAAAAGTGGCCGAAAAATAATATAAGGCCAAAACGAAATGCAGAGCGAACTCTAGCCTAGTCCAACAAGTTCAGTTCTGCTCCGTGTAGCATCTTATTGAGGTAAGCGATGGGCTGCAAACCGCGTCCGTGATCCTTCATCTGTACTGCTCCGACTGCCTGGTCACTAGCGTCTGCTTCGACCACGTAGTCTCTGTCTGGATCCGGTAAGATGAGTACTGGCGCTGTAATCAGTGATGTCTGTAGCTATTCCATGGCTTGTTGTTTAGGAGTATCCCATTTATAGGGCGTACCTTTTTTCAGTAAGTTCGTTAGTGGCGCTGCTATCTTAGCGTACTGCGGCACGAACCTGTTGTAGTAGTTGGCAAAGCCTAGGAACTGCTGCAACTCCTTCACGTTCTCCGATACTTTCCACTTCTTGACGGCTTCTATCTTCCGCGGGTCCACGTGTACGCCCTCGGCACTTACCATGTGCCCAAGAAACTGCACCTTCTTCAGGGCGAAGTCGCTCTACAACTTCACGTATAACTTTTTTTTCCGCAGGATCTCGAAGACTTTTCGGAGATGCTCCACGTGCTCCTTCATGTTCTTGGAGTGGATGCGAATGTCGTCCAGGTATACCACCACGCATTCGTCCAGCAGGGGCCGTAGAATGTGATTCATCTCCGCCTGGAACGTCCCTAGTGCGTTGCAGAGTCTGAACGGCATCACCAAGTATTCGTAGGAGCCGTATCTGGTACGGAACGCCGTCTTGTGGATCGAGTTGTCCGCCATCTTGATCTGCCAGTAACCTGACCGTAGGTCCAGCTTCGAAAACACCGTTGCACCACGCAGTTGGTCTAGAAGATCGTCTATGCGCGGTATGGGGTATTTGTTCTTGACTGTCTGTTTGTTCAGTGCCCGATAGTCGATGCAAATCCGTAACTACCGACCGGCTTTGGAGTGAAGAGAACTGGTGCACCGTAGGGAGAGGTGGATGGGCGGATCAGTTGTCTGTCTAGTAGGTACTCAATCTGCTTCTTCATGTCTGTCAGTTCGGTCAGACTAAGGCGGTATGGTGCACGTGAGACGGGTTTCGCACCTGGTTCCTCCACGATTTCGTGCTCGTGGGTTCGCGCTGGATGTACTCCTGCAGGTAGGTCGTCTGGCATGGTATCTTTGTACTGCTCCAACATCTCCTGTACTGTTGGAGGTAGCTCCGAGTTCGGCTTCTCCTCCTCTGTTGTTGCCATAACCAGTGCTAAGTAACCCGCGTTTCTCTCGTTCACCGTCCGTTGGAACCGTGCCAGTGTCGTTTTTAGGAACGTCTCTTGTATCCGTCCGGCTTCGCAGCTCCACACGTTTCCCGTTATTGTAGATGTACGCCTTCCGGTTGACCCAGTCGATCTCAAGGTTGAACCGCTTCAAGAAATCGCGCCCCAAGGTGAAATCTAAACCCTTGATGTTCGTGATCGGCAACGTCGGCTTCCACCTTAGCGCCCATATGTGCAGCTGCAGTGATGCTTCGGTGTGGATGGGAAGTTTCGTACCGTCCACCATCGTTGCCGTGAACTTGGTCTCCTCCGAAGGTTCTCCAATCTTCTCCAACGTCCCACGGTTGCAGACCGAGTGGGACGAACCACTGTCCACCAGTGCCTGGAGGCATCTTTTGTAGAAAACCTCGAGAAGTGATGGTTTCTGCTACGCTGAGTAGCCAAAGATAGTCTCGCTAATAGAATCATAGGGTACATCAACGAAATTACCAGCTCTATTTTCTATGCCTGACTTAGCACCCTTTGCTTCCAACTTCACCTGGGAGGTAGGAAGACATTTCCGAGGCTTCAACAACTTCTCCTGAGCCTGGAATTTTCCTCTAAGCCTTTGCAGCTGTGTAAGCTGGGCAACGGGGAGCCTTAACACTGTGCTGTGGGGATTGGATATTAATTCTACGGAATGCACAACCCTTTTTCTACGCTCCGTAATACTTTGCCCAACTTCTCGGGTACCTGAATAATTTCTAAAGGCTTTTCTTGGCTTTAACTCTCCCCTGATTTTTTCAAAGGCTTGAAAACTACGAGAAGTAATATTCTTTGTTAAAGTATCTTTATAGTATAACTTTAACGAATTCTTATTTTCGTGGGTGTTCGGTTGAGTTTCCTGGTCGGTGCAGAGTCTTCTTTCATGGAGCCTCCTTTTTCTCAGCGAATTCTCTTAGTGCCGACCGGTCGAGACGTTTTCAATTCGCGCCATCATTTTCTCATTTTTTCGCCGTCGAAGTCGCCATGTCGTCGCCCTTTTTCTCTTTTCAGATCTTTACACGATCGCCAGGTCGATCCGCGGCTACTGGCGAACGTGGGGGGTGCCCGCTCCGTGCCGAAAGATCTGTTCGGCACGTAGCGTCGTATTTCGGGTTGACCTCGCACCAACGCGTCGTATCGCTCGGCTGCACGTACCATGTCGCGGTAGCTATTGTAGTTCTCAGCGATGATCTGTCTGCGTATCTCCACATTCAGCCCCTCGGTGTACGCTTGGATTTTTTCGCCTTCGGTCAAGTTGGTGATGCGATTATATAACTGCTCCATCTGCTGCGTATACTGTGCCACACTCCCGTATTGCTTCTGCCGGTGAATCTGCTGCCGCGCCATGTAGGTTAAATTAACTGGTTCAAACCTTTCGATCAGGTCTGCCCGAAATTGCGCCCACGTTCTCTCCCCGGGGACCACGTCACTGTAGTAAATACACTCGAGTGTCGGGCCTCGCAACAGTGTCGCTGCGAGCCGAATTCTTGCTGCGTCATGCGTCTGGGTCGAACAACTAATGGCCTCGAAGTAAATTTCGAGGGTCGCCACGAATCGTCGAAAGTCCGATCCCCTCGTTCTCGGATCGAACGCTTCGGGGAGCCTCGGGCGAGCTCCTTTGAGTTTCGGCGAAGGTGGTGCCATTGCTGCGTTAAATGTCGGTGTTGCCGCTGCCGCTGTTGCGTTCAGTACTGCTGTGGCAGCTGCCGATTGGTTCGCGAGGAGCGCTTCAATTAGTTGAAGTACTGTCCGCGTCTGTTCCACGTCGGTGCGAAGGCTGGCGATTTCTTGCACGAAGTTGTCGCCTTGCCCTTCCAATCGAGGGGGACTTAAAAAAACACGGAACCAGATTTACGTACCCGAAATCGGTGTTTAGCGTTCGTCGCCCCCGCGGTTTTTGAAGACTGTTTTTTAGCGGTCGAAAAAACTTTGCGTGTAAACGAGCTCTGATTACCAAGTGTGAGGATCGAGGATCGAGTTCAGAATTGATAAATGAATATTGATTGATTCACCTAGGTACAACACGAGGCTATATATAGGTTTGACACAAGGCAGGCAACCCAGGTGTTACGCGAATGTTCTGAGGGTCGCGAAGCGTCCCGAACAGAACCTTCCCGAACTTGGTAGAAAGCAATTCGGTGGCAACCGAAAGGCTCAAGTTTGGTACACGAAACCTGGTTCGGTGCTATAACTATAATAACACATAGGAATGCACCTAATCTAGGAAATCAAGCATAAACATGCAAGATAAAAATAAACCTAAGCCGGTAATAGTGTATTAAAGTAAAGACAAGCAAGCATAGCTGGCATAAGCCGTCGTACTCTCACATATAAGGCCACGCGGCCCCCGGCAGAAGGCCCCGCGGCCCCCAACTAGAAGGCCCCGCGACCCCCAGCTAGAAGGCCCCGCGCCCCCCAGCGAGAAGGCCCCGCAGCCCCCAGCTAGAAGACCCCGCGCCCCCCCCCGTACCCGCTACCCGTACCCGTACCATCTACAAGCTACCCGCTACCCGTACCAGCTACCCGTACCCGTGCCCCGTTTCTAGCTCATGCCATGGCGTCTGCTACAGTTCTGCAGCAGTAGGGCCAGCCGCATCGACAGCAGCTACAACACTCTCGGCAGTGGGGACCAGAGGGTCCAAGGAGTGCCGGCCCAGTGGCACAGCCACCGGTGGGCGCGACGTCAGTCCCTGCGGGTACCGGATCCTAACTGGCCCTGGTGCTGGCACTACCTGCTCG